ATGGGCAAATACCATTAATTAAACAACAAAACCTTACAGATTGTTGATTTTTGGTTAATGATAAATTTGTCAATTTTGTATATTTCTTTACACAACAGTTAAAATATTTAAACAAACTTAACAAAAATTTAAATATAGCGGGTGAATTTTCCAGCCCATACGAATCAAACCTAGTTGTAGGTTTGGTTGCTTATCTATGGTTTCATGCGCTGCCACTAGAGTTCGCTTTCTACCTCTTCGGGGTTTTCTATGAGTAAAATGTATATCGCACAAAAAGTTCTAGGTTTAAGTTCTTAATAGAGAAGCGGTTAGTTTTTGGCGATTCTGCTTCTCTGCCAGTAAGGGCTACTGTAGCTCTTAGAACTTCTAACAAGTTCTATCATGGGCGGGTTTAGGCATGGGCATTATGGGCTGCAGTACAGAGCCCCATCCGATCGAGGGCCCCCTAGGCAATGCAAATATAATTTAAATATACAGGGTGTTTCTTTTAACTTGAGACAGCTCAATATCTCGAGAAATACGCATTTCACGGAAAAATGTCTTAAATAAAAGGTTAATGTGACTAAAGGGGACATTATTTGGTGCTACCGCTAGCCACCCCCTACCCCTCCTTAAGGGTGAAACGGGGGGTAACTTTGGAAAGTCAAATGGAATGACCCGATTTTTTTCACAGAGTTTGGTAGTACATAAAAAAATGAATAACTTTTATTTGAAAGTTTTTTTCAATTTATCAACAGATGGCGCTGTAATTCAAAATTTAAGAAAAAGGGGTTTCCTTGTAAAATGTATTATTTGAAACGTTTGAAAAACAAAAATTAACATTAAATCAACAATAGTCGGCTCTGAAAACAATTTATAACAAATGTTCGAAATGTCGTCCTTCCATTTCGCCACCAAGTGGAGCACCAGCGTCCCTGGTCGGTAAACGTTTGGTGCGGTACCTTAAGCGAACGATTAATCGGACCCTTCTTTATTGACGGTGCATTAAATGGCGAAAAGTACCGGAATTTTCTAGAAAACGATCTGACGGACCTTTTGGAGGATGTACCACTAGCACGGCTCCAAAACATGTGGTACCAGCAAGATGGTTGTCCTGCACATTATTCGACAATTGCTCGAGAGGTGTTGGATCGGGAGTTCAATGGCCGGTGCACCGCGGTGGATCGGTAGACGTGGTCCAGTAATTTGGCCTGCTCGATCACCTGATCTTACGCCACCAGACTTCTTCCAGTGGGGTTACTTAAAAGAAAAAGTTTACGCCGCAATTCCTACAACTTGGGAGGACATGGTGGAGCGGATCAGGAACGCCTGTGCGGCGATACCGCCCGATATGTTGGCGCGTTGTGTGCCAGAATTCATTACCCGCATTCAAAAATGTGTTGAAATGGAATGACGACATTTCGAACATTTGTTATAAATTGTTTTCATAGCCGACTATTGTTGTTAATGTTAATTTTTGTTTTTCAAACGTTTCAAATAATACATTTTACAAAGAAACTCATTTTTCTTAAATTTTGAATTACAGCGCCATCTGTTGATAAATTGAAAAAAGTTTTAAATAAAAGATATTTATTTTTTTATGTACTACCAAACTCTGTGAAAAAAATCGGGTCATTCCATTTGACTTTCCAAAGTTACCCCCCGTTTCACCCTTAAGGAGGGGTAGGGGGTGGCTAGCGGTAGCACCAAATAATGTCCCCTTTAGTCACATTAACCTTTTATTTAAGACATTTTTCCGTGAAATGCGTATTTCTCGAGATATTGAGCTGTCTCAAGTTAAAAGAAACACCCTGTATATATATATTTAAATCAACTATTTAATAGTTGCAAAAAGGTAAAATATTGAGCCTGTTAAAATTTTAGCTCTTAATATTATTATTAAGAGGCTCCTCATCGCGATTTTCTATTTTTCATTTTAATAGCATGGTAACAAAATTATCTTGGGAATTATATATATTTTTAAAGGGTTAATGGACTTAATAGTCTGATAGTTTTAGCGGAAAAGTGAAAAAACTTGAAATTTACTATAAATTTAATTTTAAGCTTGAATAACTTTTGAACAAGTAGATTAATTATAAATTATTAAGAGACCTCTTTGACAAAGAGTCTTTGTAGAGGGCTTACTTTAAATAATCTAATAAAATTATATTTTTAAAATTTGTTGTTAACAAAAAGATCATTTTATTTTTAAAAAAATTGTGTAATTTAAAAATTTATAGTTCTTTTTCCCCTTAAATAATTCTGATTTAAATACTAATTAATTTCAAGAAAATATCAATTTTATTGCAAAAAGTATTTGTATTTATACTGGTTAAACCAGTGAATCATAAATAAAACATTATAATGTTTACCAAATATTATGACATATTTTTATAGAAAATAAAATGTTTTACAAAAAATTTATGATCATGTTGACATTTTGTAAAAAGTCTGATTATTTTACCTGGAAAGTAAGGAAAACTTAACCTTTATTTTAATTCTCTAAAATAAAGGTTATAATCATTTTAGTCCATTAATACTTTAATGAGTTATAAAATTTCAAAATAAAAAAATCTCATGTACCTGTAATTTAAATGTTAAATCGCGATTAGCAACAAATAATATTAATGGGTGATATTTTAACAGGCAAGAAATATGTGGTACAGTTCTTCTCGGGACACATTGTATAAATGCTTTAAATGTTTTATTTATATTATTTATGTTATTAATTTATTTTTTCTACTCTCACCTTTAAAACGCCCTTTATCGTACATGTCTCCATGACACTAAGTGACCTTTTAAATACACATTGACAAGTTGTGGCTTTATGGCGCTTTAGTCACGGGCTGAAGTTAGCAACAGGTTTTTAGTCACGGGCTGAAGTTAGTTTTAAGTTAGTTGAAAGTTTTTAAATGTCATACAATCGTTAAAATAAATTGCCTTTTTTGTAAAATAATACTAAATGTGAAAATTATTTTATTATCTCAATACAAAAATACAAAAGTATTTATTAGTTTCTCAACGCCAATATTTAAAAAGTTTATATGAACATTGTACTGACCTTTAAATTTCGCCGGCAGTAAACTATAACTTAAATTCGGGCACGGACTCTACTGTAATGTCCTCATAAAACATTTTCTTTACTTTCACTGTGAAAAACTGTCAATTTTCAAGAAATACATTTCGATTTATAACCTTATAATTGTGTTTATAAAATAAAAAAATGTGACATTTGACGGTGACACACAGTTTCCCCTATTGTTTCATAGATGGCGCTCTATACAAATTTTTGATTTAAATCATTTTAAGATAATAATAAGTATTTGTCGTAGAAAAAGTATAGTATGCACCTCTTTATAAACTTTTCTATAATTCTATAATTTAAGCACTCGCTCGCAAGCTCGCTCGTGCCTAAATTAAATTCGTGTATAAAATGGCGTTTATTAAACTTGATACATAATATAGTATTATAAAGAGTTATTTTTTTTTTTGTTTTTTATTTTATTTTTGGCGTAAGAATTGTTGTTGTCATGTTTTTTCATAAAATTTATTCCTTTTATATTTTGTTTTTTATTTATGTTTGTTATGTGGGTCATTCTCACGAAAAAATAAAAACCTTTCCTTATTCGAATTCAAGTGCATGATTTTAAAAAAATCTTTAATATACAGTGTGACCCATTTGTTTGCGACTCACCCCTGTAAAATCTTTATTTAAGGTGCGATTTTAACCGTATTTGTTTTAAAGTGTATACACTAGATACAAGATCTATAGATCTTGATAAACTCTATTTTTAAAACAAAAGATGCCATATTAGTACAAAATACAAGGCCTACTATGTCAGATTTTAAGAGTAAAATTTCTAAGAATTCATATTAGGCATTTTTTTTAAACAAAATCTAAGCACGGCACTGGATTCACCACCCCTTAAAACGACCCTTTACATAATTTTATTGAAAAATTTTAAGTATAAAAATGCACAATAATAACTACAAAAATTTATTCTGTCAAGAAATCCATGAAAAAAGCATTGAAATAAAATTAAACTTATAGTAATAGTACCATGTTGTGCATTTTTCTACTTAAATTTTTTCAATAAAATTTACTATAGGGTCGTTTTGAGGGGTGGTTAATCCAGTGCCGTGCCCCTGAGTTCTATGCAGTTTGTTGGGACAAAACTAGAATTGATTTGTTTTATTAATAACCATAAAAAAACTAGTGCCTATGGATGGAATATGACACTATTACTATTGAGTCACAAATTAGAATAATTATGGCCTTGTAATATGTGAGTTGTGGATATTATTGTAAAATACCAAAATATAGTTTATTGACTTTGTTATCAAATGTTACTAATAAAAAACCAAGTAGAAGAAGAATTATTTTATTAATGATACCTATGGCGACCCTAGTAAACAAAAACCAATTCGCAAACAAATTTATTTAAATTAACATCCAATTAAGTATTGGCAATCAAAAAACAAAAACATTATTTATTAAAATTAAAGTCAAAACCGTCATATTCTTTTATTAAAAAAGGAATTAATGTATTATGCATGATAAATAAAATATAATAGTAAATATACATGTGTATAATTCGCACCCAGATTGTTACATTGTTATTAAAAAAAACGAAATATAATATAAAAAGTAAATTTGGCAAATTAATAGTTATTTAAGAACGAAGGCCAAAAATTTTTTTTTTCTGGACGAGTAATGCCAGAAAGAAGACGAGGACAAAATAACACTTTTTGGCAGTGGTGCACACAAAATATTTTAGGCGAGCCTCATTGTAATTGTTTTATTTATGGTGTATTGCCAAAATTATCAATAAAACAGGCAATATTGAAAGGGGCCAAAAAAGCATTATTTTTTAATTACCAGATTGTTCAAGATAATCTTTTGAAAAATACCTAATTATGGTATTTAAAGATATCTGTCGTATTAAGCTTTGTTATTGTTTTTGGGTTACCTGCATTTAACAAACAAATACGATCCCAATATAAATAGATTGATTGCAATTTTCGAGATTATTTAAGTATTATGTGTTGACAAAGAAGCATAACTTATTGTTTTTTAATTAACGTTAAATGGTAAGATTACTTCCAAATTGTGTTAGTAACTAAGATGCATAAATAAATTATTTTTAGGAACCATGGATTTATACAAAGATATTTACGAAGAATCAATAAAATATCCAGAAATATTTTGGTGTAAGCAGGGAAAATTGTTAAACTGGCATAGACCCTGGAAAAATGTCCTAGACAATAACAAGCCACCTTTTATCAAATGGTTTGTCGGTGGTGAAATAAATGCATGTTATAATGCTATAGACAGGCATGTAGAAAACGGAAAAGGAGATAAAATTGCTTTAATACACGATAGTCCCTTAACAGGAGTAAAACAAAAGCTTAGTTATAGGGAATTAATGCAAAAAGTAAGTTAAAATCCTAGATGTTTGTTTACTTGTTTTTTTAAATATATTTGGGATTTTGTTTCATATCAAATAAATATTGTTTTTATTAAATAGCAAAATATATGATAAATTATATATTTAAAATATTATTTTAATACTTAATACTAAAGTGTGTACAAAATAAAATCTTTTTTTATAAAATTAGGTACTTAATTTTTAACATTAACTGGACTTTTTTAGAGATTCAAATTAAATTTTCTGCATTAATAGGTGAAAAAAATATTTTTAAATTTTGGAAAAAAGTATGTTTCCATAAATTCATTTCCATATTGTAAGACATATACTTAAAAAATAATTTTTTTAAATATATATACACTATTGATAAGTAGTTTGAATTTCCAAAAGATAGCTCCGCAATTATAAATTTTTAGCACTATAAACAAGAACTATCCTTCAAACGATTACTATCAAACTTTCAGATCAACCTGTCAACAAGGTTAAATTTTAAATTTTTGGAAAAACTGTAATAAGTGAAAGAATTGATCCTACACCTCGCCAAAAATTTTTATTTTGAGTGCGTTCCACTAACAAATACCGATATACAGCTGTTTCGACCTATATTGGGTCTCATCAGTGTTGGGCGTCCCAAAACAAAGGACTTCCTGAGCTTATATAGTGCGTTAGTAAGCCAACAGAGGCGAGATGTAAGAACGTGATCCACACACAAAACAAAAAACTTTGGCTAGGTGTAGGTTTAATTCTTTTTTATGAATATTACCAGTAATGGGTCAAGAAAGTTTCTTGAAAAAACTAAAAAAATTTAATGTTTATTATAATAAGTGTGTTTTATGCTTATTGATGGGATAAAAATATTGACTTTAAGGTCATTTTATCGTACTTTGTATCATCATCCTTCGCATTCTCCAGATGTATCTCCCTGTGACTATTTCCTTTTTTCAAAATTAAAAAATCGTTGATTTGGAAAATATGTACCTTGAATGCTGAAATAATTGACGATCTGGATGCCTTTTTGACCAAAAAGATCAATTTTTTTTCCTAAAGACATGATAAGGATAAAGTATCAAATAAAACTTAATGTAGCACAAAAGGTTGCATTTCTATGCACACACTTCGTATATCAGCATATCCTATTTTGTTTTTGTCACCTCGCACGCTGCTGGTTAATATTAAAATTAGTTTCCTTTGTCTTGTAAAATTGATAAAAAGCAGATTTGTGTTCGAAAATCCTGATATTGAACACCTTATTTTTGCATGTATCAATTTTAAAATACGAGCGTAACTTTTAGGTATGCATTTTTAAACCTTTTATAGGAACTTTTTTGGAGTTTTATACGTCACGTTCGAATTTAATTTCAGTATATAAATTTAGTACACAATTTAAATCATTTTTATTTTAGACTTCAAAATTAGCAGGAGCATTATCAAGTTATGGAGTTAAAAAAGGTGACGTCGTTTTAATTTATATGCCATTAATTCCAGAAACTGTAATTGCCATTATGGCTACTGCCAGATTAGGAGCCGTACATTCTGTTGTTTTTGGAGGTAAAATTAAAAAAATAACCACTTGCGATTTTCATCGTTTCATGATTATTGGTTCCAAATAGTTTAAAGTTCAATACTTTTAACTTTATATGCGTAAAAATATACTTATATGTGGTTTTATTTTTTAGGATTTGCTGCTGGAGAAGTGTGCTTAAGAATCCAACATGCCAAACCTAAAATTATAATTGCAGCTAGCTGTGGAATAGAACCGAATAAAATAGTGGAGTACCATAAACAATAACTTACTTTAATTCATTGTTCTAAATAACATGTTCTAGCTTTATGCAAATTTTGGAAGACGCATTATTGATTTCAAGTCACCAACCGAAAAAATGTATAATATACCAAAGAAAAGAATGTCTCAAAGGATTGTTAGATCCTAAAAGAGATATATTATGGGAAGATGCTCTTAAAAATGCCAAAGAACATCCATGTATATTTATAGAATCTAACGAACCCTTGTACATCTTGTATACATCTGGAACAACTGGGAATCCTAAAGGGGTTCAAAGACCTATTGGAGGACATTTGGTTACTCTAGCATGGACAATGCAATATTTATACAACCTAAAAAAATCTGATGTATGGTGGACCACAAGTGATTTTGGTTGGGTAGTGGGCCACTCTTACATGTGTTACGCTCCTTTATTAGCAGGTGAGACAAAATTTACATGATATTTAAAGTACTTTTATTAATGCTGTTTTTTAAATTACAAGTTATTCTAAATTCTAAACTATTTTAACTTAGGCTTAACAAGTGTAATTTACGAAGGAAAACCTACAATCACACCAAACCCTGGACAATATTTCCGAATCATCGAAGAATATAAAGTAAACGCTATGTTTACCGTACCAACTGCAGTGAAGCTGTTAAAAGAAGCTGATCCAAACGGTTTTTACAGGAGTAAATATGACATTTCCAGCTTAAGACAAATTTGGTTTGCTGGAGAACATTGCGATTCGACTACAAAAAAGTGGACTGAAAAAATTTTTGGAGTTGGGGTTAGCAATCATTGGTGGCAAACTGAAACAGGGTCTGGTATTACGGCTATGTGTTCAGGATTAAAGAATCCTTGCGAGGCTACAGATTTAACTGTAGGGCTGCCTGTTCCAGGATATAATGGTAAAAATTATTTTTAATATTTTAATATTTAGGTCCTTTAAGCCCGCGATTCATTCCTACCCCTAACCAGCCACTAGCCATTCAGTTGGCTTCTTAGGAATTAAAGTCGGTCTCATATAGATGCGAATTGCGAAATACGAGTATTCGCATTTCGCAACTCCTATTTCATATGTATGCGAACTATTTTAGGGACATTGTTTATATGCTATTTTAGGTATTAAACAGTAAAGTTACTTAAAGGTAAAATAAGAAAATTAATGTACCTCCTAAATCTCTGTCCATTTTTAAAAACAAAAAGAAATATTTATTTAAAGAGTTCGAATAAAACTCAACAAAACAAATACTACAATACAAACGAAATAAACATAAATGGCGTAGTTATGATTAAATGATAATTAATGTGCATCATTCTCAAGATTCCCGCCCCTTAGATTTCAAAAATTGCGAATTCGCGAATTTTTGACTATAAATTTTAAAGACCAAATGTTTAATTTTAAGTTAAAATTTTACGTAAAAACGGAGAAGAAGCTGAAGTAAATAAACTGGGAAGAATAGTTGTGAAACTACCATTGCCACCTGGTACATTATCTACATTATACAAAGCACCTCAACGATTTTTGGAAACATATTTTTGCAAATATCCTGTAAGTATTTTTTAAATCCATTATTTTAAATAACTTTTATGATCTTGTTTTAAATTATTTCTAGGGCTACTATGATACCATGGATTCAGGTTATGTGGATAAAAATGGGCTTATTTACGTTACTGCAAGATCGGATGATGTCATTAACGTGGCAGGACACAGATTATCAACATTGGCTGTGGAAAATGTTGTTTTGTCTCATCCTGACGTTTCCAATGCTTGTGTCGTATCAGTTCCAGATAAAATTAAGGGAGAAGTTCCTTTTTGTCTTTTTGTCATCAATAAAGGTAAAAATAGTGTGATTCTAACAAAACTATTAAATCAATTTTTATTACCTACTTTTAGGTTCCTCAAAAAGTGAATATGTAATAAATCAGGAGTTAGTTAATATGGTTCGCTCTTTGATTGGACCAGTTGCTAGTTTTCGTTTATGTGCTTCCATTAGAGGTTTACCTACAACAATTTCAGGAAAAATTTGCAGAAAGTCTATTTCTGATTTGGCAAGAAAAAAATTAACCAAGGTAAATAAAAACTCTACACGTTGTCCTTATCAGTGGTTTTAATTTAAATTAAAGTATGATTTTGAAAACTAACATTACCACAGAAACTTAAATATTCAATATACACTGTATATTATACAGGGTTTCCTGAAAATGACTCGCCAATGTTATACCAGACTGTAGAATGTGTAAATAAAATTACAAAAAAATTCCGACAAAAAGTTTTTGCACGGAAAATCTATTTTAGTTTAAAAAAATAGTTAACATGTTTTTTGTTTTAGATTTCACCTACTGTAGTGGATCCTTTAATTTATGATGATATAAAAATTATTTTAAAACGTTTTGGATTTGCATGATTCTGCAACCAAGAAGTTTCCATATGTAAAAAGTAAAAGTTAACTTTTATTTAAGTAGGTATCTATCCAAAAAAAAAAATTGTATCAAGAATTTAAAGAGAATCTGCACTGAAAACAATATAAATTATAGGCTTAAACATAGATGGCTCTACTTGTAGGGAAATCATAAATTTGAACTATAAATTGAATAGTTATGTACATAAGTAAATTTATTTTATTAGGATAAGATAATAAAACATTTTTTCTTTTTAATCTTTTTTATTCCTATTGAAAATTTTTTAAATTTATACAGAAATTTTAAATTTATAAAGAAATGCTTCAGTTGTTTGAATATTTGTGAACTAACTTTGATTAAGAACAATTTTTCTAGTTAAGTATTAGGTCTATTTAAGGTTATAAAAAGTTTGCATATAGGTCATATACGAAAAAGCTGCCTTTATTGCATAAAATAAAAAGAAGTAATATTAATGTTTAAAAAATACTACTTACCGATACAAGCTGCCAAAACCAAATCAGCAAGTGTTCCAAATCTAAGTGATAATGATATTAGTGTTTTTTGCATTGCAAAAACCATTCATTTTCTTAGATTTTTATTAAATGTACGATATGTATACCATTCTAATTCAGTTCTGCTTATAAGGCTAATGATTTAGTTTTTTAGCTTTTGATTTAATTTGAAATAAAGTACAAAATTTCCTTTAGTGAGTTAATGTGTATGTCGAATTTAGTTTCAAAACATGTTAAAACTTTTTTGCCACCACAATGCGTTTTAGGATTTTTTCTTTAACAATACGCATGCAATTGGCAACATGATGTGCAAACAGTTGAGTATCCCAATAATCAATTGTTATCCATTGAAATCACACCATAAATAATGATTGACAGTCACAAGACAAAATTAGATTGTCATCTGTGTAATCTAAATACATTATACTGAGTGTCCATTCAATCACTATCACTGTTGGACAAATCTTGCTGAACGCTCTCTTGATTTCACCCTCTTGTGTACGAAGCGTCGCTACTCTGGAAATACCATCGGTACCAGGATACCCTATTCAAAATTTCATGACCATTTTAATACCAAATTAACACCATACGTGGTCTATATCGATCCAAACCAAAATGGTGTTAAATAAGGTTCGTTGGTCCGGTGTAAATTCAAATACTAAAATGGTGTTAATTTAACTTTCACACAGTATTAAAATAAATTTTACCTGGTGTAAATTGAACTCCTTTTTAGTATTAAATATTATATGTTTGTGGTCAAATTAAATCATACTACACAGAAAAAAGGGAAAAAAAGGAAACAGGAAGTTCCTTGACGCATTACTAGTATATTACCAGTGGTATTATTCCAGAAAATGGAACTTTCAACTCGCTAGAGATAATGTTTTTAGTGCGTTCCACTAACTTAAAATACTTTAAGTATTGACAGCTGTTTCCACCTATTTAAGGTCTCTTTAGTATCTAACAACTTGTAGTGTAACACCAAAGCAAAGGACTACCTGAGTTTATATATTCTTCATGTAAGTCAACAGAGGCGAGATTTAAGAACATCACGTGATCCAGACCGCCTTTGCCGCATTTTCAAACATAATTCATAGTGTTATATTAACACCACTTGGTGTTGGATTTTGACACCATTTTAAGATTACTTTTTACACCACAGATATTTTAAACAGTGTAAAGGTGAATAATTCGTTATTGCTGTCAAATTATCTTCTTTTATGAGTACAATGTCTCCAATTTTAAGACATTTTTGAGACTTGAACCATTTTGTACATACGTTGTTGCAACTAACTCACATATTTATCGACGCTAACAAATGTTCTCGCTCGAATAACCGTGACGTAAACCCCTGATTACCTAGTGATACAGGAAATTTCTTGTCATGTAAAAAGTTAGAAATGGACAATCGACCACCCATGGACTTGTTTTACCAAATAAGAATTTTTGCTGCCAAAAACTCTTGTTGTACAAATTTTATAAGTACCTTTGAGGCTTGATTAATTTCTTGAAATGTCAGACACCCTTATAAAAGCGATTTATTTGCCCTTTTGCACGACAATTTGCCTTGAACCTAAGCCAATATATGTTAGGTGTGCGTTAAATCAGAAAACTAATTGAACCACGGATGTTTTACAACGGCCATATTCTTAAAAATAGGTTGGTTATGAGAACTAATTTTTAGTGCTTATAACTTATTTTCTTACTCAAAATAGTTCGAACTGACAAATTAGTTTTAGAACTAATTAAAAATTTTGAACTTTATTGGTTGCTTTAAAACAAAAAAATTAGAAGAAAGAGCTAATAAAAAAGGGTAAGAATGACTAACACAATTTTTTATATTCCTTTCTTTATTATTATAGTATACTCTTATAATTATTATTTATAATATTACTACAATAATTATCACATTACTAATGATTATGACATGATGTCACTTACAATTTTGTCCGATGTATAAACTGATACTGGATACATTTTATATTTAATATTTATTTTTTTTAAATTAAACTGTTATTGCTTTATTAATCTTCAAAGTTAACAATGTATGTATCTTTTAAACATTTTTGTTTAAAATGGCGTAAATTTGCAAGGTTTTTGGTTCGATAATTTACTAGTTTTCAAAATAGGGCCACTATAGTATACCCGGTCAAAAAAATTTCTCGGTTTGAAAACGGAACTCCACGGGTTGAGGTCGGCCCGTTTGCGGCGTTCTGACATCTCGGTAAAAGATGTCAGTAACATGTTGGGCCGACGAAAGATGGCCGATATTTATATATATATATATATATATATATATATATAAATTGGTCGATTAAAAGTATTTAAAAAATAACGGCACGACATATGTGACTGGATAATGGGCCAATGTGATTTTTTAATTTTTTTATTCATTTTAGCCGAGTTATTGAATGTTTAAATTTAAACGCACTTTAATTAAAGCGACATCTTAACAAAATTATCATAATTACAAAAACTTCAATGTTAACCTTAACATTTTAAAATTTAAAATTGTTTTGTATTTGCGAAATAAAATTAAACCATATAGAAATATCCATATATGGATTTTCAAAAAAAAAAAAGAAATAGAATTCGCGTAAGTAGGCATCGTCTAATTCAGCGCGAATCACGAGCTTTAGGGGTGCAAGCTCTTGAGATGTAAAATGAAATTATTAAAAAAAGTAAGAAAAAAATATACATTTTTATTAATTTTTATTAAACTTATAAATTATAGTATAGTAATATAGTATTATTACTATAATAGTATACATATAATTATATATATAGGCATTTAAACGCCTTATATACATAAGGCGTTTTCGGAAACTTACCAAGTTACTTACCCGGGTCAAAAAGTCTATTGTTATAACCAGTTTTAAGTTACTTGATTACCACCCAAGTAAACCTTAGGTTTCCGAAATCCTATAGATTTTGTACATATGCTTACCAACGTGTTTACAGCACAAAAAGAAAATCTGGTAGAACGAAAGGTGGAAAACCCAGAAAAAAAATTAATGAAAATGTTAATGATATGTATATTTTTTTATTATAGATATATTTTTTTTATTATACATATATTTTTCTTAAAAACTTGTAGGTACTACTATAGCTTTCTCAATGTTTTCAAGGTTTAAGGTAGTTAAAATGTAGGTAGGTACATAATAAAAATATAATTTTAGAATATGGCCATGAAGAAGGTGGCATAGATAAAGAATTGCAAAAGGTTGACTTTGAAAAAGGAAATAACAAGATTAAAAATCAAGACCAACACATGTACACTGTACACTGAAGATGAAGAAGGCAATGGCAGTTTTAGTGAAGAAGAAACCGAATCCAATAATGACAACAGTTCCAATGATGAATACGTAAACAATGAAGTCCCCCCTGAAGAAGTGGAAAATGCCAAAGTAGACATTGCAGATGATCTGAGAGAGTGGGCCAGAGATGGAAATATTCCTCTCTTCCAATTAACAAAGTTATTGTTAATATTGAAGCCTGTGTTTCCCAATTTACCTAAAACTGCAGTGACTTTTTTAAAAGTTGGGCATAGTTTTGAAATTGATACCATAGAAAATTCTTTCAATAACTTACAACAATTTGTATACTTTGGTATTGCATTACATCCAAAACATGTAATAGATTTGTTTTTTCATGTTGATGGTGCTAGAGTTTTTAAGTCAGGAAGTTTAGCATTTTGGCCTATTCTATGTAGAATTTATCACAGTAGTGACGTTTATTCACATTTCCGGTAGCTGTTTTTATGGGTCATTCTAAACCACCAGATGTAAATTATTAGTAGACAGTATTAGTTTATTACTTTTTGTTCCTATAGGATTATGTTTTAATTCAGTTTTTTTTGTTTATGTGTTACTGATCAGTCACATTAGAAATTCTACTTTTTAAACGATTTCCAATCTAGTCCTTTGTTTCTATTATTCTTTTGTTTTCTTTTTTTTCACAAAATGCTTCATAATTCATCTTTAAAACAAGACAATGAATCATGCTGTTAAGTGATGTCAAATCAAATCAAATCAAATATGCTTTATTGTAGGTACTTAAATTACATACAATAGGAGGACGGTTAGGTTTCCCTATCTTCCACCGTCTCCTTATTTTAATTGTGTACAAAAATTAAAAATATATATTTATTTAAAATATATGAAATCAATAATAATTTAAATAATAATCTTTAACAAAAATTAAAAAGTTTTTCTCTGTTAAATTAATATTCAGAATTACTCTATTTAATAGTTTTGACGCAACATATACAAATGATCCCTTAAATTTATGAGTGTTATGCTGTGGAATGTTAAAAGTATTATGTCTAACATTAACTGTATGAACATCAGATCTCCGTATAAGCAAATTGTACAAATATAAAGGCTTTTGATTTTTAAGTAAATTGTAAAGAAATATTGTTGCCAAGTAGTTTGTTCTGTTTTCAATTTTCATTTCGTTTAAATTGACAATGTAAGGGGTTATGTAATCTCTGAAAGGAACATTTCTGACAAAGCGAATGCACGCATTTTGTATTCGCTGGAGTTTTAGCTGATTATATTGTGGTAAAGAGAAATAGTAAACAAAGGAACAATAATCAATGTGAGGCATGACCAACGCTTTAATCAAATTTAGTTTGCTTTTATCCCCAAAAATATATTTGAATTTATACAAACTTCTTAGTTTTAAAAAGCAGCATTTAAATATATAATTAACTTGATGCGAGAAAGAGAGTTGTTCGTC